CTTTGGGCGGGAAGCGCCCGGCTCCTCCTTCTAACCCTTCCTCCCGTGAACCCTCCCTTCTCCCCAGCCGGTTCCCCCGGGCATCCCTTGGGTGGCAGAGGCTAAGCCTTGTTTGTTTGGTTTTTTTTTTAAGGGAGATGGGCAAGGAACAGGGGAGGAAAGGGGAGAAGCTGTGCGGAGGGAGGCAAGGCCGGGGAGAAAGGCAACCTCTGTCCATAAACAGCAATTTCTGCCTCTCAACTCAACAGAAAACGTGTGGTTGCTTCTATTTGCTAACCTTCTCGCGACTGTTGTCTCTAGGTGCCTCTAAACCCACCCAAAGGCTTGCCTTAGGTCAGGGCAGCTGGGGGTTTCCGCAGAGCCTCGGCACAGAGGGTATCAGGAGATGAAAATGGGTTTCGGAAGCTGGGAAGATCGCCTTGTGACAAACAATACGGACAAAACAACCAGTTAAGCATGAAAACTTGCAGGGACATCAAAAGGATCAGCAGGGTGAGGGGAGAAGCTGCTCAGCTCCAAGGAAGCAAGAGCAGCAGGAGGGAGGTTTGGAGGAGGGGAAGAAAAACCCTAAAATCATCTGTTTTGGTTGGTTTTACTAGAATCAACACAGGGCAAAAGCACATCCTACCAAAGTTAGGAAGAAAAAAACAAACTGCTCAATTCATCTTGGCATAAACCTATTTGCATTCGTTTCCTTATAACTGGTCAGAAGTTTCTCGTTTGGGACGCCGTTATACCTGTTTTTAACAGGTCTCAGGCTAAGCAAAGCGAGGCCTTCCTCCCCATGGGAATTTCAGCAGTCACTTTAGCAGAGGTCATCCAAGTAGCCCCTTTGCTGTTCCTTCCACTGCAAATGTCCTGCCAAAGGATACGAGGGAGCTGGGACCCTCCCCACAGAGGGGCCATCCAGGTTGGAAGAGCAGCCTTGCAATCAGCAGACTGAAGGAACCAAACTCAGCAGGTAACCCTTGTATAAACCCAGTATTTGGGCTCAAGTTAGGCCTCATACTCCAGCCTCTATGGACAGAGAGCTTTTTCATTAAATGTCTGAACTTTCATCAGATAGGCAGGAGCCCAACCTTGTCGTTCTTCCGAGTCCTGCCCTGGAGCCCACCACCTCACCTAGCTGCTAGGAACTACCCTTGACACACATTAGTTCCATCCTGGAGCACAGCAAGAATTAACTCCACTTATCTCAAGCTCTCTTATGCCCTATACACACACTTCTTTCTCTTTCTCTTTTACCTCTATTTGCTTTTGTGATTTCCTTCCTCTCTCGCATTGGATGAGGTTACGCGACCCTCGTCAGCCCTCATCTCCTTCACCTGAAGAGCTGGGCACTGGCACACCTGAGCCTTGACCCTCCTAAAGGCCCATAACACCAAGACACCATCATAGTGTTTCCATTCTGTGCTTACGGTGACACAGAAAAGTACTTCCATGTAGCCAAACCTCAAGAAAACGTTATGACTTGCGTTTTCCAGAACAGGGGTTGTGCTGCAGAAGAACTAGTCAATGGGCCGTGGCTTTAGCGGAAATCTGTGGCAAAACCAAATACTGAACCTTGGTTGCAGATACCTCCCTAACACTTCTAACCACAAGAACAGCTTCATCCTCGAGCTGACTCTGCTTCCTCTTTTTTTCAGCATTTCACAAACCTTAAGGTTCTGGAAAATAGAAACAACGATGCTGGGGTTAGTTTCACTTGATTTCTCAACAGCAATTCCATCCTGAACTGTTTACACCACCCTGCCCTGACCCTCAAGTTTCCCTGTTTGAGGAGGTTAACGCTGCCCTGTTGAAAGAGATTAAGGAAATAAACCGCGTGAGCAGTAATCTCTTGTGGAGCACTGCCTGGATACTGGCCCTAGCAGGCTGGGAAACAACTGATATTTTCTCTAAAAAATTTAGCCTCGCAGAACTAATCTTTTTCTCCTCCGTAAGAAAGCGCTGCCGTGATCCTGCAATAAGCCTGATCAGCAAGATTTATACAGTACGTATTGAACTCCTGCTAGGACACTGAAAGTTCACTTGTGCCCTGGTGTGTTGTGACACTGCTGAGACAGCTTCTCGTGCAATCTCACTCTGTTGCATTTGTTTTCTAGGCTAACGAATGGCAAGCAGTTAGTACACGTGAGAGAGTCATGTACACGCAGTCTATCTCTGTTTGTTTTTTCAGGTAAGACCTGGGAATTAATTTTGAAGGGACGCTGCGAGGCAGTCTGTTATGCTGTTGTCTTCAGCAGGTTATTTCAGTGCTGTTGTCCATAGTCAGCAAGACTGGTCATGAAGCCCAACCTGAGTGCTGTTAACATCGCTGGACTTCTGATGTCTTTTTCTTACCCGTGATTTTTGCATATAACATGATTCCACAGCACACACTTGGTAGTTGCTTCATAGCAGCATCTCCTGAGGCAACGGAGCAGTCCCCTTGTCCTGCCCTTCTTTTTTCTCTTCTCTTTCTAGCAGATATCTCGGCTCTATGTTAGTCAAACCATGTGAGCTCAGCAGGGCTGCCTGCTTGTAGCAGCTTGCAAAATTGGGCTTTAGTAGTAAGAGTGAAACCAGTTAATTTCAGTGGCCCCAGGGATCCATGGTTTATTTTTTCCAGTAGTGTCCAGGACGTTCTCTCTGCTTCCCAAGTAGTGAAGATGTCGCACCACTCTCCCTGCCCCATGGTGTGTGTAAGGGATGATTTTCACTCAGACCTGATGTGAGCTGGTGCAGCAGTTGTGTCCCGGCGAGGAAAGTGTGAAATCTTAGGGCAGGCCTGCCCCATCGCAAGGAACACCTACGGGGTGGTTATATAAAATATTCGGGCTCCCTGTGGCAGGGTAATGAGTGTTTTCAGTGCTTTCTCCAAAAGCTGCCCCCAGAAGGTTCTTCTCCAAAGAGCTTACCCAGTGAACCATCCCCTTTTTCAAAGCACATCAGGTGACCGGAGCTTTCATCAAAATGCTGCACTTTCAGGAAGGAATTTAAAGGTGTTAGGAGGACACGCAGCACAGGATCAGGTCCATAACTCAAGGTTTGACAAGAGAAAATAGAGAAAAACAGGGGGAAGAAAGAAGTTGGTCCTCCCCCTCATCACAGCAGCCAGCCCCACAGATTCCAGTCCCATACTTCAGGCCAGGGCACAGCAGAACTCACAGAGTATCTCGGTGCCACTGAAACAAATTCCTTGGTGCATGGGAAAACCTGCCAGAGCAGCGCAACAGGGCCGTCCCTTCCTGTGAAAACATTGACTTTGCTCTTGCTGCGCAGCCAAGCAAGGCAGTGGCATGAGCACGAGCAGTTTTTGTCACTACCACAAAGACCACGCTCCGAGTTAGGAGACAAAGTAGACAAAAGTACCATCACCTCCTACAACTCTTGCAGAAGCGCAGTGAGGGTTACTTACACCAGGGCCGTTTTGAGGTCCAAGGGTCTCAACTGCTCCCTCCCTTGGCTGCTCTAAAGGGCGTTTGTGCTCTGTACACCATGGGGAGATAAAATAGTTTTTCCTACTTGGACTTCACCCATCCCTCCTCTCAGAAGCACTTGCCACTTTGTCCAGTGACTCATAACCAACACAGCTGGATCACCTAGCGCTATTATTTTTTTTTCCAAAACAGTGTTAGAGGAATACAGACTGCTCCAGGACACCTAGTTTTGACACCACCTGCGGAGACATGGCATGGGAAGACCCAACATCTGTGCTGCTCGTACTCTACCTATTTATGGTGTCAGCCAAAGCCTCACCTGCCAGAACCATCTCCCAGCAAAACGTCCTCCTCCCAAACCGATACATTCTTCTGGGCACACCAAGAGATCAGTTTCAGTTCCCCCGAACCTGTCTCTCTCATAAAAGTTTCTTTTTGTTCAGATCAAGGCGATTCGTGACTGGATAGTTTAGCTACGCCCACAGCAGCCGCAGCACGAAGAGCACCTCTGCGTGAATCCGAGTCTCCCATGAAGAGCAGGACGCAGTGTATTTGTTGTTGTTAGAGATTCCACGTTAAGCACGCGGATGTAATGTGAAATCCAAGCGCTGTCAGCGTTTTATTGGTGTTGTCCCTAGATCTTGGGAATCTGACACAGCAACAGAATCGATGCTTTCAGCCATTTCCAAAAACTAGTTACCATAACTAGCTCTGAAATGACATTTCTAGACTAACTTGAATCTGTCCGTTCAATTTCGCTTGTTTTGGGATAGGTTGAAGAGCTGCTGAAAAATAAAGCCCTTTTATTGCTTAATAGATGAGGCGCCTTCCTGGGAAACAGCACTATCTAAACAAGCTGCCAGGTTTACATAAGCTCAGCCATTCCTTCAGTACTTTAAAGAGAGCTGAGTCACATTGCTCGTCATAAAATTCACGTACCTGTTTCAGACAGAGATAAACGTGAAAGCTTTGTCATAACAACAGCTGTCTCAATCCAATAGCATTTGTACGGTTCTAATAATGAACTCAAGAAACATTTAAAACAAAGACTTTTTAATATTTTTTCTATAACAAATAATTAATCAAATAGGCCGAATCCCATGTCATCATCAGATTCTTCAGACTCCTCCTTCTTCTCTTCTTTCTTCTCCTCAGCTGAAGAGAAAAAAAAAAGATCAAGCTGATGGTCAGTGTTTACACTTTTTTGCAACACAGATTTTTAAGATACACATTCTGGTGTTCTCAGCTTCTGAGTTATTGGTATTTCAGCCTCCACGGTTCATCTTATTCCCTTTCAACAGCCAAATAAAAAAAATGAGGGGGGACAGATGCTGCTACTGAAGGGATGTACTTTACTCAAAGTCCGTTGGATTCTCAGTTCTAAGCCAGACCAACCTTAAAGGGGACAAAGAGCAAGCGTTTCCGATTGCCCAAAGGCAAAGGAACTGTTCACTTTGCACTTCAGTCACAGAGTGAACGGCCAAAGCGGAAAAGCCTTGAAATTCGGTCTGGACTGCTCAGATTTTAATGGAGGTGCCCCGTGCCGACCCCTCGGCACCCGTACTCACCAGCAGCAGGGGCAGCCGCCGCAGCGGGGGCAGCCGAGCCCCCTCCCGCAGAGACTGCTACCGCTCCCCCGGCCGGCATGCTGGCCAGCTTCCCGTTACCTGCAGGGGTAGAAGAGGAGAAAAGTGTTTAAATACTCATCGCAAGCACAGAGGTAAGGTGAAAAGACTGAGAAATGAGAGCACGGGAAAAACCAAGACGGACCGAGCCTGTCACTAAGTATAAACTGTTCTGCGAAAAAATACTCCAGAGTTTAAGATTCACAAAGGCAAGAACCCTGACAAGACATTATGAAGTTTGCTTTTGTACACAAACTCCTGTTCGGTTTTTTTTTTAACAGTACAGAGAACTGTGAGGGCACAACCAGCTCACACTTACAGGACCAAAGGGAGCATGAGGAAAGATGTATTTACGGCAAAGAGTACAGTATTTCAAACAACTGCTCCAGCCCTCTGGGAGCCCTATTGCATCTCCTCTGAGATTAGCAAACCAACCGGTGATTTATGGTTCTCTGGCTGCTGCCTCTCACATGCCAGGGCCCCTCCATAGCATTCAGAGGTCACTACACGGAGCGTTCGCCCACATTCCAACTTCTGGGAATCAGTTTCTAAATAATTCTCTGTTACTTCAAGCTGTAATAAAGTAGCCAAGCAAACAAACATGTTTCATACGCATGTCATTATGTTCTAGGAAGCAATTTATTTAAAGCATTGCAAAAGGAGATAGCTTAAGTGCGTGGTAAGCACATGTATAATGGGTATCTGAGGTCTTCAAGCCACTGGAAATGTCCAGTCACCTCTCCCAAAGTCCTGGCAACATTTAAGCAAATATACGCCAAAGAATTCCCTTGCGCCTACTGCATTTGCAAAAAAATATAAATTCATTTATCAGAAACCTTTGCACTACCTCGGGCTCTGCTTTATTTCAGCCCTATGACCCAGTCAAATAATGTCAGAAGCTCCAGCTTCAGTAAGAGCAGAAGCTTCTACAGAAGTCAGCACCAAGAGCCCTAAGTTAGAGAAAAGGAACAGCGAGACTTGAGGAGCTCTAGAGAAGATGTGTACTGGAGAGGCTTGTGTTCATCGCAGAGGCCATAACTCTACTCTCAAAGTAAACTGACACTTTTCCTTTGGTTTTTTGTGGGTTTTTTTGGGGTTTTTTTGTGTGTTTTTTTAAATTTAACAGTCTCTTCTTCCTGCTTTTTATATTTGGTGCAAAGAAAGTATCTCCCGGAGAGCCTCCTCCTCCGACCAACGTGTCCAGAAAACTACGCCATGAGCAGACTGCCGGTAAGCTCATACATGCTTTGAAGTTTTCCAGTTTAATGTGGTCCACAAGCGAAACCCGGCAGGTACTGGCATTGACCAGCAGGGAATTAGAATGGACCCAGATTTCAGCCACTTCAGCTGAGATCCAGTGTGGAAGTCCTCACCCACAGAGCTAAATTCCTGAATCATCAGGGAGTTGGCAACAACTCTACACTCTCAGGTCGAAGTTACCAAAATAGTAGAGGCTGGTGTCTGTGACACTCAGAGGCTGTACTTACCCTGAGCAATGACATCCTCGATGTTTTTCCCATTCAGCTCACTGATAACCTGCGTAAATTAAGTTTAGAACATTAGTACGTCACAAAAGCGTGAGTATAAGCTACACTTAAACAAGCACCAATTCATCGGTGCAACGTCTCCATCCTGTTGCCTGTACAGCCCCAACATTCCTTATTTGTCAGTGAAAGAGGACATTGAAATGAAAGCTTCACATTTCTGCGAGAGCTTTTTCATGGAAAAAAAAAAAAGTTATGATAATAATGAATCCAAGGACCTTGCAGAAAGGATACGCAGAGCCAATTACAAAACCTCACCAATGGTCTGTCAGTCCCCGAGGGACCGTCACCGCACCCTGTTTAACACCCACTGGGTCCTGTTCCCAGCCTCACAGCTAAGCTGGCTGTTGCATCCTTGCCCTGGAACACAGAGTCCCCGGTTTCCATTTTCCTGCCATCATCGTTTAACCAGGATGAGGAAACCAAAATGCAAAATCAAAAATTGCTCAAGCAAGCAAACACTTTTTTAAAAAACAAAAAACAAACAAAAAAAAAAACCACGGACCCTACTGGTGAGTCCTTGCTACAGAGGGTCAGTGCTGAACACTGCTGAGCACCCAAGAGGTTTTAATCCAGAGCTTTTCAACAGGCACCTCTGCCACGCACAGAAACGCCCTGCCTGTCCGCGTGCTTTGTCCAGAAGGAAGGTGTTTGTAACACTTCACGAGATTTACGCTGACATAAGATACTGCCAGTGCAAACAGAAAATAATTAATTAAATCAACACCAAAAACAAATTGCAGAGAAGCTTTCTGGATATTGGAAGATCAGAGAAAACCGATTTATGAAGGTATTAAACAAATGTAAAGAAGCCAAAGCCCAGAGGCCTGGTGTTTGAACAGGAACATCTGTTTAAACCAGTTCAAGATTTAAACCAACATCCCAGACCGTAATAAGGATGCTGCCAGCTCAGTCGACCCACTATCTGGTTGGGCTTGTGGTAAAATACTGTCTCCAGCTGGGAAAATAACTTGCTTTTTCCTCCACCTTTCTGGAAAAAACATACATACAAGCATGGGGTAGGTGATACGACCGCTTTTTGGTGATCTCTTTTTTTAACAGAGCCATTATTTTTAAGTCCACACACCTGAAAGCCTATTATATCTCAAGAAACAGCCTAAGATAGTCTCTTCTTAAAAAGCCTGTTTTTCAATCCCTTCGTTTCATCATTACTTTCTAAAATGTTCCCACACGTTACCATTGAATATCTTCAATGTCCCTGTTACACTTCCCCTAGGTTCCTCGGTGAAGGAACAAATGTTCCTTTGCTATACACTAAATAAGAATTTATTACTGAGTATCAGACCTCCAGAAGCATTAGCTTTGAGTCAATGCTGACTAAAAAACGAAGTTAAAGATTAAGCACAAAAATTCTGTCAGAGTGCGACTTATTTTCAATAAATGCTTATCCGTTGCCACCAACCCAGTGGAAATTACTGGAGTGAACAACCAGAAATCAGCGACAGTTGACAGAGTTAAGTAAGAAATTCAGGCTCCTAAAAAAACGTTGTAAAAAACCAGTTCACAGCGGTTAAGCAGCGTTTAAGAAGTAACACACATAACCATCAGTGAAATGCTGAACTAGGTAAGGCCGGATTGACAGCAAAGAACGCTAAAGCCAAGGAAACGGCTCCGACGCCTGACGCTGCCC